CAAAGGACACACCAACAAAGGAGATTAATCAGAACTGACTTTGACAAGCACTGAGGCAATTGGACAATTAAAACAGACATTCGGATGGCGGGGAAGAAGAACAAACTGGGGAGGAGGGTGGAGAGAATGGTGCAGCAATGAAGGAGTGAAAGCCCAGAATCCCTGTGAATGTTCATTGAAAGTAATAAAATTTAATAAAAAAAAAAAAAAAGGATGTGTCCTTTTAAATTTCTGTGCTAAACAGATCATTCAAGAGACTGGACTTTACAAAGAGACATGTGACATCCAGGATTGGAAGAAGACTCATCAACAACCTGCATTATGCGAATGACACAACCTTGCTCCCTGACAGTGAGGAGGACCTGAAACACTTGCTACAGAAGGTCAGGGACTGCAGTCTTCAATATCTTTAATATTGATTGCATCTCAACATCAAGAAAAAGATTCTTGCCACTGGGCCAGTTGGATAAGAGAGTAAGATTGCCACAGTTAACACTCTTGGCACTAGAAGAAAAAGAAAAAGAAGAGTTGCATTGGGAAAGTTTGCTGACAGGAACCTCTTCAGAGTATTGAAGATCAGCAGTGTCTGTCTGGAGACTCAGATGTGACTGATTGAGGCCATGGTCTTTGCAATGTAAGCATCAGAGATCTGGACAGTGAATAAGGATGACAGAAGAATCGATACCTTTGAGTTGTGGTGCTGGATAAGAGTACTGGGCATATCATGGACTGCAAAGAGAACAAACAGGTCTGTCCTCGAGAGGGTGAAACCAGGTTGCTTCTCAGAAGCAAGGATTTTGAAACTGTCTCACATACTTTGGGCATGTTGCTAGGAAGGATCCAGTCCTTGGAGAAGGACATCATGTTTAGAAGGATGGAGAGTGAGCACAGGAGGAGAAGACCCAGGATGAGATGGATTGACAGAGTGACTGGTTATGGGGACAGCTATATTTGAGACAGTGAGATTGGCTCAGAATAGGACAAGGTTTAGAGCTATTGTTTGTAGGGTTACTGTGAGTTATAGTTGACTCAGTGGCACATAACAACAATAACAAATCTTACACAACAATAACAAATCCTATGCTGTGCTGTGTAGAGAGAGAACATTCAGACCAAGACATTTTTGACTAGCACCTAACCTATGGTTAGCAACTTAAGCTACTTTTTTCACCAAATCTTCAACTTTCATGCTCTTTGTTTACCCTTGACTGTCTTTTTCTGTGCCTGCATTGCTAAGTCCATGTAGAGGACAGTAGATTCATTCCCAGTTGATTATTCCCAGACTTTCTCAGACTGTGGTCAGTCAGACTTGGTCAGTCCTCTTCCATTCCTCACAGGGACCAATCTTAAAATTCTCTTGGCTTTATTAAATGTTACGTATTTTTGCTAATGAAGAAATTGCTTATGATTGACAATGACATAATGTAATTTGACAACTCAAGTGTTGCTGTTTCTTTTTCTTTAAGGACCTGTATGCTGTTATTAATGGTGGTGTTAAGGAAACCACAGAACTTCTGAAGCAGCGATTTGACCATATTCTCTATACAGGAAATACTGCAGTTGGAAAAATTATCATGGAAGCTGCTGCCAAACATCTAACCCCTGTAACCCTTGAACTGGGAGGGAAGAGTCCATGTTATGTTGATAAAGACTGTGACTTGGACATTGCCTGCAGGTTAGTCATTCTCTGTTTGAGGTTTGTCCAGCACAGTGGAGGCTGGGAAACAGTTTCTTGTCTCCTGTTAGCATTTGAACCCCATGCCTTCTGATTCTGAGATAATGTCTTTAGGTTCTGGTAGATGAGTAACAGAACCCTTCCCCAAACTGTTAATGCTGTAAAGGTGAGCCATTAGTCTTGATGTCATGAGATTTTCCTCAGGAATTATGAAAAGTTTTTGTCTGTCCTTCAAAGTTATAGACAGATGAAACATTATGCTGTTCTCCAGACAAATGAATGATAATCCACAATTTCATGTATGCCTGATAAAATTTTTAAATTACAGACTGAAAGGATCTTATATTAATCTCTTAACTAAGTTCTTTTGTTGACAAAAGCATTATTACTTATTTTTCACTTTGAATCACATCTTGCATGTGAGAACTAAAAAACAAAAGCTTTCAGATTCCATCTGCTTAATCAGGTTTAACTACCAAAAGGTGCCAAACAATGGAACTGGCCATGTTTTCAGTGTGATGGCTGCCTCTCTCCCTTAGAGATCTGGTGCAAGGAGGAATAGGGAACGAGCTTCAGGTTCTAAGTTGGTTTTGTAAATAGATTTGCCAGAATGTGAGATCCTCAGTTGGTGGGTGCTCAGATTATGAACTTCTGTACACACCCAGGAGCAGGGGAAAGGCTTCACACAGGGTAAGTGGTCTTGTCAATAGGACGTAGAGTTACAGCCAGGAGAGGCAGAGCCTGAGCCGGCTTCTGTCTTCCAAGATGTCATCATGACTGGATTAGGAAAGCTTTGGAAGCTGTCTCTCCTCTCTGCCTGTAGGAGTCAATTGCTTCATTGCTGACAAAGGACTATTTCTCATGAGCTGGTTTAAAAATCTTCTTTACATGTAGGACATTCTACTTCAACTGGAAAATGCATTCTAAGTTGGTTAGAACCAACAAAGTTATAGATGAGAGATGTTTTGTTCCTTGTTGGGTTATTTTTTTAAAATATACATGAGTTTTTAATATTTAAAAACTTTTCCATAAAAGTAGATAAAGGAATATGTACTATTTTAAAACAATGATACAACATAAAAGTAAATATTACACCAAATTATCTAGCTATTCTATTCTCTCTGTCCCACACCCAGACGCATAACCTGGGGGAAGTACATGAACTGTGGTCAAACCTGCATTGCCCCCGACTACATTCTCTGTGAACCATCCCTGCAGAACCAAATTGTGGAGAAGATTAAGAAAACTTTGAAGGTCTGTGTTCTAAACAAATCTGATTGTATTTATTTCATTAAGATATAGAGTCATGTTAACTGTTGGCAGGCAACATCCCCATCTCTGCTTCTTGTAGGAAAATCCAATAGCATTTGTGACTGAATTAATATATCAGTTAATTGAAAGTACTCTGTGCATCTTCATAGACTTGTCTGCTGTTACCAAGATTAAGAGATTGTTAAAGACATTTTAACGGTCTAGTTGGTTTGTTGGTAAACAATTGGTTAGTTGTGGCATAATCTTAAAGAAACAAAAATTCTAAACAATAAAAACAACAACAAAAGAAAAAAAATTCTAAACAATGATGTTCTTATAGTTTTGGGAGAATGTTGCCTGTGTGATGCCACACATAACTTGAAAACACAGGCGTTTTGGCCACTGCTGATTAAAGCTATCTGGACGTTTGTATGTAGAAGGTCTAGGATGAACAGTAGTTTGGAAGAAAAAGTTAATGAAAAAAGTAATAAATACCTTCACATAGGGTACTCTTTACTTGTTAGTGAATCTTTCAGAATACTTAAGATATCCAGTGAGAGAATCAGGAAAAGCCCTATGATGGTGTACTGAGCTCAGCCTCGAAGGAAATGCAGGATTTAGATTGATAAAAGGAATAAGATAAACCAGCATGACTGAGGGAAGTGGTGGAAGGGAGTTGTTGTTGTTGTTATGTGCCGTTGAGTTGCTTGCGACTCATAGCAGCCCTATGTACAACAGCCCTAAACTCTGCTCTGTCTTGTGCCAATCGCACTATCCCTGACACTCCCATCCCGATTATCCCAGTCACTGAATCAATCCACTTCATAAAGGGCCTTCCCCTCCTACGCCATCCCTCCACCCTCTCAAGCATGATGTCCTTCTCCAAGGACTGGTCTCTCCTCACA